CCTAGATAATGTTACACAGGAATGTGTCCAGGCGGGTTTTGAATGTCTCCAGGGAAGGAGACTCCACAACCTCCCTGGGCAGCCTGTTCCAGTGTTCTGTCACCCCCACTGAGAAGAAGTTTCTTCTCAAGTTTAAGTGGAACCTCTCGTGTTCCAGTCTGTACCCATTACCCCTTGTCCTATCATTGTTTGCCACTGAGTAGAGCCTGGCTCCATCCTCGTGACACTCCCCCTTTATATATTTATAGACACTTATAAGGTCACCTCTCAGTCTCCTCTTCTCCAAACTATAGAGACCCAGCGCCCTCAGTCTTTCCTCATAAGGGAGATGCTCCACTCCCTTAATCATCTTAGTTGCCCTGCGCTGGACTCTCTCCAGCAGGTCCCTGTCCTTCTTGAACTGAGGGGCCCAGAACTGGACACAATATTCCAGATGGGGTCTCACCAGGGCAGAGTAGAGGGGAAGGAGGACCTCTCCTCTCGACCTACTAACCACCCCCCTTCTAATACACCCCAGGATGCCATTGGCCTTCTTGGCCACAAGGGCACAGTGTTGGCTCATGGCCATCCTGTCGTCCACTAGGACCCCCAGGTCCCTCTCCCCTACACTGCTCTCTAACAGGTCGTTCCCCAACCTATACTGGAACCTGGGGTTGTTCCTGCCCAGATGCAGGACTCTACACTTTCCCTTGTTATATTTCATCAAGTTATTCCCTGCCCAACTCTCCAGCCTGTCCAGGTCTCGCTGGATGGCAGCACAGCCTTCTGGCGTGTCAGCCACTCCTCCCAGCTTAGTGTCATCAGCAAACTTGCTGATAGTACACTCAATTCCCTCATCTAAATCATTGATGAATATATTAAATAATACCGGTCTCAGTACTGACCCTTGAGGCACTCCACTAGTTACAGGCCTCCAACTAGACTCAGCCCCATAGACTACAACTCTCTGGCTTCTCTCCTTCAGCCAGTTCACAGTCTACCTCATTACCTGATCATCCAGACCACACTTCCTCAATTTAGCTGTGAGGATGCTGTGGGAGACTGTGTCAAATGCTTTGCTGAAGTCAAGGTAGACCACATCCACCGCTCTGCCATCATCCATCCACCGTGTTATTTCCTCATAAAAGGCTAAGAGATTGGTCAAGCATGATTTCCCCTTGGTGAAGCCATGTTGACTGCCCCTCATAACCCTCTTATCCTTGATATGCCTTAAGATGGCACCAAGGATAAGGTGTTCCATCACTTTCCCAGGGATGGAGGTGAGGCTGACCGGTCTATAGTTACCCGGGTCTTCCTTCTTGCCCTTTTTGAAGACTGGAGTGACATTTGCTTTCCTCCAGGCCTCAGGCACCTCTCCCGTTTCCCAAGACCTGGTAAAGATGATGGAGAGTGGTCTAGCAATGACTTCTGCCAGTTCCCTCAGCACCCGCGGGTGCATCCCATCTGGATCCATGGATTTATGGATGTCCAGACTGCTCAACTGGTCTCTAACCCATTCCTCATCGACTAAGGCAAACCGCTCCATCGACCTGACTTCATCTAAGGTCTCAGGGGTACAGGGCTCTTCAGGACTGCCTGCAGCAGAGTAGACAGAGACAAAGAAGGCATTCAGTAACTCTGCCATCTCTGTATCTTCTGTCACCAGGGCACCCATCCCGTTCATCAGTGGGCCTACATTGCCTCTGGTGTTAGTTTTGTCTGCCATGTATTTGAAAAAGCTCTTTTTGCTGTCCTTGACCCTTCTCGCCAGGTTTAATTCTAAGGAGGCCTTAGTCCTCCTAGCTGTCTTCCTACATCCTCTAGCAGCAGCCTTATATTCCTCCCAAGTGGCCAGCCCCTCCTTCCATGACCTGTAAACTCTCCTCTTCCACTTGAGCATACCCAGCAATTCCCTATTTAGCCATGCAGGTCTCTTGGCCCTCTTCCTTGACTTCCTACGTGTCGGGATGCTCCAATCTTGAGCTCGGAAAAAGCAATCCTTGAATGCCAACCAACTATCTTGGGCCCCTTTACCTTCAAACAGCCTTGCCCATGGGATTTCCCCTAGCAATTGCTTGAAAAGGCCAAAGTTTGCCCTGCTAAAGTCCAGGGTTGCAATTCTACTTGCTATTCTACTGGTCCTACCACACAAGATCCTGAACTCCACCATCTCGTGGTCGCTGCAACCAAGGCAGCCCTCAACCCTTACTGCTTCAACCAGATCCTCCTTGTTAGTGAGGATGAGATCCAGCAGCGCTCCTCTCCTGGTTGGCTCATCCACCATTTGCAGGAGGAAGTTATCATCCATACACTGGAGGAACCTCCTGGACTGCGGCTGGGTTGCCAAGTGGTCCTTCCAGCAAACATCAGGGAAGTTAAAATCCCCCACGACGACCACAGCCTGTGACTGTGAGGCCGCTCTCAGCTGCCTGTAGAAGGCCTCATCAACTTCCTCACCCTGATCTGGTGGTCTGTAACAGACACCCACAACAGTATTGCCCCTGCCAGCCTGCCCCTTAATTCTCACCCACAGACTCTCAACTCGCTCGTCATCTGTCCCTGGACAGAACTCAGTGCATTGTAGTTCCTCCTGCACATAAAGAGCAACCCCACCACCCCGCCTGGCTGGCCTGTCTTTCCTGAAAAGGACATAGCCCTCCATGACTGTATTCCAGTCATGTGAGCTGTCCCACCACGTCTCTGTAATTGCCACCAGATCATAGTCTCCTGACTTAACACAGGTTTCCAACTCCTCCTGTTTATTTCCCATGCTGCGCGCATTGGTGTACAGACATTCCAGGGAGCGAGCTGAGCACACCGATTTCACCCTAGGATTATAGGAGGCCTCCCAGTCTTCATTAATTCTGGAGCGCTGCCCCACTGCGGCAAGCCCAGCTACAGCCCCATCCCCCTTTGAATCTAGTTTAAAGCTCTCCAAATGAGCCCTGCTAATTCGTGCCCCAGCATCCTTTTGCCTCTTTGAGACAAACCTTTCTCACTTGACATTGTCCAGACTGGTGCCCTATAAAACCAGCTGTTATCAAAGAATCCAAAGCCCTGCCTGTAGCACCAGTCTCGAAACCAGTCGTTTATGGACTGAATCTTCCCATTCCTTCCCACATCATCAGTGGAAGATGGAAGGAGTGAGGAGAAGATCACTTGAGCCCCAGACTCTTTCACCATCCGCCCCAAGGCCCTGTAGTCTTTCTTCATCCCCCTCAGACTGCGGGAAGCAGCTTCCTCCCCACCTGTCTGGAAGACCAGCAGCGGGTAGTAGTCTGTCGGGTGCACCAGGTTGGGGAGCGCCCTGGTGATATCCCTGATCCGGGCTCCAGGCAGACTACACACTTCCCTATGATGAGGGTCAACTCTGCATATCGGGCCCTCTGTTCCTCTCAGAAGGGAATCACCTACTACAATGACCCTTCTTTCTTTCTTAACAGAGGCAGTCTTGAGGTGCAAAGTCAACCGCCTTTTTCTATGTGGCCTTGTGGGCTGGCCTTGCAGGCTGGCCTTGCCCCACGTTCTCACCTACCTCTCCTTCAAGATCCAGGGCCTCAAACCTATTACGGAGGGACACCTGGGGAAGCAGGGCAGGAAGGGGGGAGGGTTTCCCACAACGCCGAACTGGAACACTCGTGCAAGTGACCCTGTTCCAGGAACAAAGTATTAAGTTAGATATGCAGAAGAAATTCTGACAGAAAAGTTGACCTCAGTAATATTTGGTACTTCGACTCACAACTAGACATCTTAGGGGCTAACACCTAGACCTTTTTAGCCTATGACAGGAAGAGTTCCATCCAGGAACAATCTGGACAAATGGAAAGAAAACAGCATATAAAGTCTCTCCTCTAGAAAAAAAAAGAGAAAAAGGGTTGAGCCTCAGGGTAATGAGGCAGCTGCAGTGTGTTAGGTGTGGGTGAGAGCACAGCCCATGACTTTTTTGTGTTGTCCCTTTATAATCATGGAAGTTGGTGGAAATGGCTGTGGTGGAAAATGTAAGAGAACTGAGCTCTCATAACCTCCCTGCACACTGCTCTAAGGTGGCACTGCCCTCATGGTGAAGGGATTTCCTGGAGTCCTGAACATCTCAAGCCACAGCTTGTGGCCTTTGCCCCTGGTTGCCACTGCCAAGAAGAGCTGGGCTCTGTTGTCTTCACAGCTCCCTCTTGAATAGCAGGGCCAACACTGGGTGCAGTATTTCAGCATTGAGTCTAAACGGACAGTGTATTTCCTTGACCTGCTGGACACATTTCTCCTAATGTAGCCCATTATGCATAAATGTATAATGTAAATTGTATGTAATGAAAAGGTATAATGTAAATTTGCAATGAGAGTATCTTGCTATTTACACACAAATCTACATACACCATGGAATTTTTTTGCTCAATTTACCACAGAAGAAATGACTTGTCTTTGTGGGCATTACACACAAAGTATTGAGTGACCATCAGTGGTACTGAGTGATGTTGCCTGCGTCCTCATCATGAATGAATGGATCCCAGATGAGAAGTGCATTCTCAACAAGGTAAACTGGCAGAGCTTTCAAGCAGTTCTTGTCTCATGTCAGAGGTTTTTCTATGGGAGATGCAGGATGATTTCTGAGACAGAGAAAGAAATGTTGTGACTGTGCACCTGGGACTGGAAGGAGCAAGGGAAAACCACCCTCCCAAAATGAATACCCAAAGCAATTTTTTTTTGTTGTGAGCATGGTGTGCCCACACTTTATTTATTTGAGCATCTCTGTGGCCATAGTGGGCAGAAATGGGTGGAAATAATTAAAGGCATTGCCAGGAGTGGCTTAGGGTCACAGCCTGCTATAGGAATAATATTTCACTGTCAGTCTTCCATTGCCTGTTGTGTTGAAATATAAGAGCTAAGCTTTTGACGAACAGCTTTTCTTGGGATGGAAAATTCAAAAGCATGTACTGCTTTGGAGTCTGTATGTAATCTGCCATGGCAGAGCTGAAAATAAGAAAAATATGTCCTCAGAATGTTAAGGAAACACGAGGAGTCATGGCTCTAGTGTCTCTCAGCTGGACATTTTAGTGACAATTTCATTCTACTTATTCACCTTTACAGAAAATATCTTCTAAGCCTTGAAAACCAAGATGCTAGGATACTATGAAGGCCTGCAGCCACACACCAGGAGGACGTTATCTCAGTTGGCATCCCAGGTGGTTGGTGCCACTTCCAGGAACAACTGGAGATGTAAAGTGACTCTCTGTAAGAAGCGAGGGTGGCACTTGAAGCGAACCAGTGAGAAGTAAAGAATGACACCACTGAAAGTGAACAGGATGATGTAGAGGATCTCAAACTGGGGTTGATCAATGACGGGAGCTAACACCAGGTACACAGCTGGCATCAGCACGATTATGGGGATGATAATTGGGACCTGTGAAAGCAAAAGATCAGCATAAAGACTCAATGTAACACTGGGCCACTGTGGGTATGGACAACCCTAGAACTTCTGCACAAGGCTCTTTAGATGAAACCCTGGTGCAACTGGAGGTATTAACTACAAATCCAAATTAGTCCAGACATCCTGTTTCCCAGCCCGTCCCCACTCTAAGGTTGAACATCCCTGCAAGAGCAACACCACCACCTGGTCTTCCCTGCCCTCCTAGACTTGAAGATGCAAACTACTGGTGTTAGTGCCAGGCCTGTTTTTGCTCTCCCGACTACTTTGCATCCAAAAGCTGAACTGCAGACAAAACACAGCAATGTGTACGAATCACAAAACTGAACTTTAGCACCCTTGGGCAAAAAGGTTTATTTCTTTTTGGATAGGTGAACAGGCAATCTCAGAAGTTATTTCTGTAAGTCTGTTCAGAAAGCATTTAAATTTAAACTTGAAGCCATCCTCCTGAGGCTACTGAATGCACAGACAATGATTTCACAACAAGGTGAAAACTGAATGTTCAAGCTGGAATTTTTCATTTTTTCTTTTTGTGCCTTTTTGTCCAGTAAGTGGAAGACTTAACAGCACATTGCTCTTCTCTGTCAAGCTAAGCCCCAGAGGACACTCAATATAGCTTCACACAGCTCGGTAGCATCAGCCTGTCATCTACATCCTGAAGAAACCCTTGAAAACCAGGATGTTCATTCAGCTTGTCTCAGGGAAAAGTCACTGTCCTGCATTCACTTCCTTGGTCACAGAGGAAGCACTGCAGCTTGACTTGCTTAGGGCACCAGGGGGAAGAACAGGTAATTCCTGATTCCCTTCCACTTAGCTGTTTTGTGGGGATGTCCTGGGTTCAGCAGTAGCAGGCATGTTTCTCCTTCTTGGTAGCTGGTGCAGTGCAGTGTTTTGACTTTCGGCCTGGGAACACAGCTGACAGCGATGTTTTGGTTTGGCCAAGGACTTTGTGAGCCTCATGCTCTGCCAGGGAGGAGGGGAAGCCGGGAGGAAGCAGAGACAGGACACCTGACCCAAACTGACCAAAGAGGTATTCCATACCACAGCACATCATGGCCAGGAGGTAACTGGGAGTTAGCCGAAAGGACTGGGGGACTTCAGGGTTGGAGGAGGTATCGGTTGGAGCTTGGTCGGGCTTGGGGGGCGATTTATCTGTCAGCTGGTGCTGAGGTGTTGTATTCTCTTCCCTTGTTATTTCCTTTATCATTATTATTATTGGTGGTAGCAGTAGTGATTTGTGTTATACCTTAGTTACTAAACTGTTCTTATCTCAACCCGTGGGAGTTGCATTCTTTTCGATTCTCCTCTTCATCCCTCTGGGAGTAGGGGGAGGGAAAGAAGGGGGGGGGGGGGGTGAGTTAACGAGTTACCTGACTGGGTTTAAACCATGACAGTTCTTTTTGGCGCCCAACGTGGGGCACGAAGGGTTGAGATAACAACAGATTTGACTGAATTAATAGTCACTCGTCACAATGCTGATTTATTGGCTCTCAGAGTTGTTCTTGTTGATCTCACAGCTCCAGAATGTTGTAACTTACTTAGAGCTGGTATTTGCTGTGTTAGTGTTTATCAAGTGTGGGGCTTGGGCTAAGGTTCTTGTCTCACTGTGCTTTATGGCAATGGCTTGTAATACGGGCGGGCTCCAGCAGCAGGGCGGGACGGACGTGGCCGTGGACTTGTACCTGGCCGTCCGGCTGCTCTTCACCGTCCTGGCCCTCGCCCTACTCTCCATCTTCGTGAGGCTGCGGGGAGCCGAGGGGGAGCGGCCCCGGGAGCCGGCGGCAGCCGAACCGGGCCGGGAGAGCGGCCCCGGGGACCAAGCGGCGGCGGGAGCGGGGCCGGAGGCGGCGAGGGGACGGCTGCCGGTGGAGGAGGTCGGGGCGGTCGAGGAGAGGAAGGAGGCGGCTGCCGAGCAGCGGGAGAAGGCGGCGGAGGAGCCGAGCTCAGCGGAAGAGCCGAGCCCCTCGGAGGAGCCCAGCCCCGCGGCCGAGCCGAGCCCCGCGGAGGAGCCCAGCCCCGCGGCCGAGCCCAGCCCCGCGACGGCCGAGAGCATTTCCCGGAAGCCGCCTGCCGAGCCCCAGGAGGATGCAGGAGACCCCGCAGCATTTCCCAGCAAGGCAGAGGAGGAAGAGCTGGACTCAGGAAAAGAGAAGCTGGCGGTGGGAGAGCCGGCAAGCACAGCAGCTACACCAGCCCCAGTGACAAGTACAGCAGCATCAACTGAGAGTTCTGAAGGTTTTGAATGGCCTTTGGGTATCCTTGGGACCTGCCTGCTGATTGTGATGGGGATCAGCATGTTGGCACACACACAGGCTGTGTGCTACCCACCATCATTTTGTCTGATCTCAAAAGTTAAGCAGAGTCAGGTTTGGGTCTTGCCTGGGGTTAGACGACGATGCAGGGGGACCACGAGATTTTCCCCAAGGCTGGACAGTCATGAGTGGCAGGGTGTGTGGGACAGTATGGGCAAGTATCTAGTCCACTGGGCCCCTCCAGTGCTTTGGAAGCATCGGAGATGGAAGGCAGCTGTATGGAGTCCCCAGCAACAAGCTGCAGAAACTGCTTAAGGGGACAGTGAATTATTTTAAGCCTGGTGGGCCCATGGCACTTCAGGCCAACAGAGCAGAGATGCAACATAGAGATGGACTCATGATTGAGGGGTGGACTTAGCAATGGACACTATTGCCCAGGTTATTCACAAGTGTGAACACTGCACACAGTCTCTCCTGCTCTGGAAGACTGTTACAAGAGATGGAGCCTGACATCATGGACCAGATGGACTCAGCAGGTTTATAGCTACTGGTCCATGCACTTAGATAAGAGTGATGGTATATTGAAAATGTGGGATCTGAGCATGACGTGAATGGTATGGAATAAGGGGTGGATAATGTCCTGGGTTCAGCAGTAGCAGTCATTTTTCTCCTTCTTGGTAGCTGGTGCAGTGCAGTGTTTTGACTTTCGGCCTGGGAACACAGCTGACAGCGATGTTTTGGTTTGGCCAAGGACTTTGTGAGCCTCATGCTCTGCCAGGGAGGAGGGGAAGCCGGGAGGAAGCAGAGACAGGACACCTGACCCAAACTGACCAAAGAGGTATTCCATACCACAGCACATCATGGCCAGGAGGTAACTGGGAGTTAGCCGGAAGGACTGGGGGACTGCAGGGTTGGAGGAGGTATCGGTTGGAGCTTGGTTGGGCTTGGGGGGCGATTTATCAGTCAGCTGGTGGTGAGGTGTTGTATTCTCTTCCCTTGTTATTTCCTTTATCATTATTATTATTGGTGGTAGCAGCAGTGATTTGTGTTATACCTTAGTTACTAAACTGTTCTTATCTCAACCCGTGGGAGTTGCATTCTTTTCGATTCTCCTCTCCATCCCTCCGGGATTAGGGGGAGGGAAAGAAGGGGGGGGGGGGGGGGGGAGTTAACGAGTTACCTGACTGGGTTTAAACCACAACAGGGGAGCAAACATGTCCCCTGGACATCTCAAAGGACCTGGGGCATTCTTTTGTCCTCTGCAAGGTTCTTACACCTGGGCTGCCTTTTGAGGAGGGCAACCAAGTTCACAGAGCATAAGCAGTAGATCACATTGTTGGTCAGAATTGTCCTTCATTTTCTTCTTACATCTCTTATAAAAGGTCGATATATTTTCCACAGTGAGGGGGCAGTGTATTATTAGTTTATCAAGACAGAGAAGCCAGCCTTGACTTATGCTGGTATATTCACAGTATCTTGCCCATTGTTGACAAAACATGAAATTAAAAAAGGAAGGACAACAACACTAAATCTGTAAGCAACCAGCCCCAGTGCTCTTTTTCTCCTCATAATGCCCTGTAAGTTATTTGGGAATACAGGAAAAGGGTTTGAGGGTTTATGTTTTTACTTCACCTTATAAGATCTTGGCAGTTCTGGTTTCTTGATTTTTAAATACAGGAGACCAGAAATAGTCATGCCATAGAAAAACCATGCTATTAAACTGGAAGAAAAAGGAAAGAAAAAAAAGACAAAAAAGACAGCATTACATTTGTGGTGAGATCATCCAGGAATGTCAGCCTGCCTTGCAGATCCCAGATGTTTACATCTTCAATTAAAAAGGAGAATATTGATATAAATGTGGTAGTTCTTCCATTCATTTCCTTTCCAGCCCAATAAGCACTTCAGAATGATCTAAATATTACGGATTCATTTCAATATGAGGATGTATCACATCCAGTTAAGTACACAGTGACAGAAGCATTCATGCATTGCAAAAATGCTGGTTCCTAAGCAATTCCTTTTCTTTCTTTCCCCTCTCCTCAGTGTTGGTTAGAAAACAATAGCCCCTGCTCAGAAAAACATTGAAAGAAAATACTTCTAAACAATTCAAAACCCAGGACGCAAGCAGAAATGCTACATGTACATACCTGAAAAAGTTCACAATGGTGGTGAAGTTTCCTGATATTATCATTATTAAAGACATGGCAGATGTAAAGAGCAGAGCAGGGGAGGGTATGAGGCATCGCATGAGAGCCATAGACAGAATGTCTGGCTGAAAGCCAAAAAAACCCAATATACAATTATATCATGTACTTGGAGATCCTTACTCATCCACCTCTGCTGCTGGTGGGAGCTCTGCCTGTTGCCAGAGCCACTTATGATCATCAAATAAGCACAATATAAAAGCCACTCAAGTCCAAGGAGTAAACATGGAAACTCCCTCAAGGATGTTTTCATTGTGTCTCACTGATTTCATACCAAATATGCTCAGTTTAGGCAGGCAAGATAAGGTTTTCAAACTAGTAATGCAACAGACTAAGGCTGAGTCAAATCAGAGCTCTCCTGATAATCACTGGGACCTTGTCCCACTGTTCTGCCCTCCGTCACATCTCTCTGGGACTTGGATTTTCTAGGGCTGACTGGAAAATAAGACAAGAACTACTCCAGAAACATTTATGCAAGTAACCACAAAGCAAACCAGGATTTGTTCCAGAACATGGAAAGAATTATTAGCCTCTTTATTATTTGGTTTATTGGAAAAGCTTCATAAGAAAGGCTTCTTTTTTTTTTTTTTTTTTTTTTTTTTTCTAATTTCCAACCAAAATATCGTGCAAGGACTTCTGCTAGAGCTGAGTGTCTGAGAAACAGTACTAGCGTTCAGCTCTTAGTCTGGTATGGTCAAATTCAGAACATCTGTGAACTGCTTAGTACAGAGCTTGCCACGATACAACAGGAGCTGTCATCAGTAAGAGAAGCTGTGGAACCAGTAACCACCAAAACCAGTAATCACCCAAACCAGTAACCACCCAGTCATATCCACCAACTTGGTCATCCATATACATAAAAGATTCCCTCCCATGCACAAAGAGTGAAGCTGGTGCAGAGTGGTATCCTTTGCACCTGGAGCTGAAAAAACAGATTGTGTGGGGAGGAAGGACCAAAGAAGCAGAAAGGTCCAGGAAGAATAAAACATGCCTACTCAAAATAGAGGAGGAGAATTTAGCTCAGCCCAAGCACTGAGAGGGAGAAGTGTGGGAGAGGTGTGCCTGTGGGTGAGTAGGTCCTTACCAGCAGCTGGAGTGGGGCAGTAGCTTATATGCCCAGGTACCAGCAACTGGGAACACTGGGATACAGGGACTGCTACTGGGCAAATTGAATGTCTGAGCCCAGCTGCTGGTCGGGTCCACATTGTACCTATGTGTATATATATATATTTTTTTTTTTTTTCACTTACAGTCGCCTGTTCAGCTAGAGAGGGGAACAAGATAAAGCCCTTGGTGCTGTTTGTGCTAGTGGTTGTGTGAGCACTGAGCATGTCTGCACGTGTAGATCTGTGTGCCCTGCTGTCTGTATATGCATGTATACCTATATATATGTATGTATGTATCTGTGTATATATATATATATGTTGTATACTTGTGTTTGTGTTCCTATTGGGAATACATGCTGAACCCACCAGTTGGACCACAGACCATGTAGCTGTAGCAGCCTGGCCTCTGCTGGGCTCCACCTAGCAAAACCAATTGAAAACGCTAGCTAGCTGAGATGGAAGACCGTGTCACCTTGTAATTGCTATGAAGCTTGAAAAGCCTGGAACACCCCTGAGAGCAGCTTTTGTAGTCAGTATTGTATGCAAAGGCAGCTTGGCAGTGCTGAACTACCTTCCCAGCACAAGCAAGGGAGCCTTACAACACGCAGTAATGGCTGGGTTTCCTCTCCCTGGCAGGTATATTGGCTAGGACCCCCCAGACCTGTGCCATGTGCTTCAATACATCAGTATTTCATTTCAAAGCTGTTCTTAAAATCCAGGCTAGATGTAATTATGTATCTTTCTGAAATGACACGGCTGAGGAAGAAAGTCAGGAAACAAGAGACACCTGACATTTGAAAAAGATGGGGAAGACAGTGTTTGAGCAAGAAGCAAAACACTATCACTCTACCAGCTGAACATACACAGTGTTTTCCTCTGCTTTAATGTCACAAGAAGGTAAAATCGCTCAAAGCAAGCCAGATCTCTTTATTTTTGTCCTTACCATATGGCCTTCCCTTGAAACAACGTAGCATACCCGGCCTCCAGTGAAGAATGTGCCACTGGATGAACCAGACATAGACAGTGCCACAAACAGGGACATGAGCTGAGCCATGCCAATGGCCCAGGACTTTGAGGTGAGAAAAAGTTCACAGCATAACATCACAGCTCATAATTGTATAAATACTCATTGAAGAACCAGGCAGGTTTCTTCCCTGCATTATTCTGATGTATTTTTTTTTCCAAAGCCTTTCTAACAATTTAAAGCCTTCTTCCAGTTCCCATAATATTTAGTCACTTGTAAGTTTGACATGCCCAGAAAAGGCAACTTTCCTTCCTGCCTGGTGTATATATATCTACATCTGTTTACACTGCCATGGTGTACAAAGCTGTCACAGGAGGTACCCCCCCCCCCGGTTTTGTGTGCAGATGCTATGGTGCAAATCCTGGATATGCTGCTATTACAGGCAACAGTATTAGCTTGCAGAAAAACTGGTCCCACAGGACCTGAAGAAATATCCTGCATTATAAACTCTTCCCAATATCCATAAGAATATAAGCCTTTGATCCCATATGCAAGTATACCTGCTACTCTGTGAATCAGGCTAAAGCCAAAGAAATTGTTTGAATTTCATAAGTTTGATTCTACACCATGTTCAGGCATTTATGGTTTGCGTTCTCTGTAATAGGAGTAGCAGGGTTACAAACAGAGTTTGAGGTAATTATTTGGGAGATAGGATAATCTTCTCACCTAAAAGTGAAGCTTGTCTTCTGCAATAGAGCAGCATGAAGAATATGAATTGAGCATTAAATGCAGGTGTTTGGAGTAATTATCACGTACACACACACAAAACCAAACACACTATTCCCCTCACTGGCAAAAATCCAAAATTCAGACTTTTTTTACAACCCTTTCCAATTCTGAATCATGGCTTTGAGCCATATCTACTCTTTTTTAGTATCACCTATCCCAAGTATCCAAAATCACGAGTTCAGCTCTCCGAATTCATGGCAGGAGTTTAACTACCACAATAATTTCAAAAATGTAGCTTGTAAGCTTAATATCTGGGTTATGGTCCTTCAAGCTTCAAGTTAAGCTACTTGCAATAACCACAACTAAAATGTCTCCCTTCTGAAGATGATGGAATCTGGTTATCTCCTATTACCATGTGACTCCAGAACACAAGATCTCAAGGGATAACTACATATATCACAAAATCAATTATAAAATCTTCAGCAATTGTGTATTTTGCATCTGTGAGATTGGTGCTCTGCTGTTTGGACCCTGAAAATGAACTACAGGGGGTACTCCGAGTAACTCCTTACAAGCAAACTGAGATCTGCAATTACTGTTAAATCACTGGCATCAAAGAAATGCTGGGGAGAGTTTCATGAGTTCCTTTTGTGGCTGAACCTCTCACCACTGAACAATGTATCTCTCTGGCAGTTTTCTTCTTATATGGAGAATAAATGCATTTCAATGTGACATGTCTTCCTCTGGCTTCTTTATAATCCTCCCATCCCTTCTCAATGACCGGAACAGATGCACCTTTTGCTTGTAAATCACAGCCATTACATCCTCCTTAGCCTGTAGCTCTCTACGTGTCCTTTCAGCTTTTGAGTGCCCAGCTTTTTGGTCACTAGTTCGATGTTTCTTACTGAATTGCACTCTCGGGGTGAAAACGTTAATCAGGCAGGAAAAAGAGATGTGTTAAAAAGGAGGAAGCTCGAAAACAACTTGTTAACCAGGAATGATGGGAAAGGAAGTGCAGGGAAAGTTTATGACATTGTGGCTTAGCCAGGCTTTGTAACCTGTTCAAACAAGGCACTAGACCTTTAAAAGCTCCTACTTACAATGACATGAAAGGCTATTAAAGAATACATCTCGCAATAACTCAGATCTTCAAACTGGGCATCTTGTGTAATGCACACAGAAGCAAAGCTGCTGCTGACTTACTAGGAAGAAGATGAGAAGCAACACAATCCCTGTGTTATCGTTTCAATCAGACAACTCATTTAAGGCTGTCATGGATTCTGTGTCTTTGGAAATATTTAGAATAAGGCTGGATGTTCTGGTGGGAGATCATCTGGTTAGAAGTCAATAGTGTCTACAATGCTCATGACTGTCCTTTTCTTCTCTTGCTAAAACCCTTGTCTTGCACAAAGCCTGTCTGATACACCAAACACTTCAGGTTGGTGTAAGGTACAAATAGTTTCTGTACAACTCTGGAAAAGTGCATGTCAACTTAAAGATACAATTACCAAAGGCTGCACAAACCATGTATAACACTTCTCCTACTCAAAGGTGTTGTAGACACTAGTGTTGTTTTCCATTTCCCCATGGGTGGAGAAACTGATCCAAAAGGCTCTGGTCTCGTCTAATTTCCATGTGCTGAGAAGACAGGATTCACCCAGTTGGCTCCTGTCTCACTCCCAACCCATTGACTCTGCACTAGTGGGGCAGCACACTGTCCTCTTCATTTTTCTGGAAATTTCTGAAATGTGGGGTATCTCCCAGTTCCCAAGTCCAGATAATCACCCTCACTGCATCTTCACTGTGGGGAGATGCTCCTGGTATACATTTCATTCCCCTCTTTCCTGTCCCCTCTGGCCACTTTCCATGGGGGAAAACATTAGCTGGAGGGAAGCCACACATTCCCAGTGGGAATGAATGGGAATGGGAAGTAAAGCATGTGCTGCAGAGCACCCTATCTTGGCAGCCTACGTGCACCTCAGAGACTATGGGCCAGACAGGGCTGGTCAGCCCTGACCTTTGGTGGGGAAAGGCTGACTTAAAGGTGACAGAGCAGGGACTGGCAGCATGCTTCCCTGTAGCATGGCCTGACAGTTCTTCCTGGTCTGATCAATGCAGTGCTACCATTCCCACTGGAAATGACAGCTAAATCTCCTGAAACTCAGGAGAGAACCCATATTTCACTGGACTGCATTGGCTGTGCTGCCACATGCAGAGCTCACTCCCAGGTGGCTGCCACAGCTCCTGAAGACAGCAGTTCAGACGGAGTCATGGCTGCTAAGTAGCTCATGTTTACCAGCAAATACAGGCATGTAACCAAAGGAATGGCAATCATCACAGCTCTGGGAAGGGTCACCTGGAAAAGGGATGACAAGAGTGTTAGGCACAGCACATTTACACCTGCACTGGACTTTTTTGTTTGTTTTGTCTTTGCCACCACCCATGTCTCTCATTCAAACTCCTTTGCTCACTAAGCATTTCACAGAACAAGACATAGATTGAGATTCATGCAGCAGTTTTTACACCAGTCTCCCAGAAATGGCAGGCAAACAGTAATGCTTTACATTTTAGTCTTTAAAAAACAAACCAAACCAACCAACCAACCAACCAACCAACCAACAAAAAAAACAAATTTTATTAAAAAATATTTTGCTTCATAGCTGCCCAAGATGCCGTTGCCTGGTTACGTCTTGATTACTTTAATATTGATTTTATTTGTTACTAGTGTGTTACATCTCCTGATGTGCTGTGTCTTCCCATGAACATCCTACCGACACATGTGATGTACAAGTGCGTGTTGCATCACATTTAACTCCTCTACAGGTTAAATCCAAGCAGGGCAGTGCAAAGGAGATATGCTCTTGGAAGGATTTTAATTTTTTTCTAGTGACAGGGTGCAATCTTGGAACACCACAGATCATCTTAAGGCTCAACAAAATCAACAAACACTACCTTATGCAGCTGAAAACACTGGAAAAAAAGAAGTACTAAAACCGGGAATGTCAAATTTGCATTCCCACCATAGGACAAGACATAGCAAATCCTTATGTGGTTGCCTTCACTCCACAAGGGTGTGAATATCAGTGCTCGAGGTCCTGTGGGAGAAAGTGCCACACGACCCTAGGATCTTTGCTGACATTTAGGTTAATATTTAACCGTGTATTTTCATTTTATCTGTAAAATCTTTTGTGCTGCACTGGTAGAAAGCACACTCTATACACATTGCACTCAGCTCTTTCTAAAAAAAAGGTTGTTCACTGCCTATAGTGTCTGATCTGTGCAAAGAGGTGATACGGCATGGAAAGGGCTGATGTGAGATGCAAGTGAGCAACTTCAGTGCCTAAAGCACAGACAGAACAATACCAAAAAAGTAGACAGTTAAAGACAAGGTCATTCAGGGAGCCAGATTCCTGCTCCAGCAATGCTTCGCTTGCTTTGAAGCTCCCCCTCCATGCAGTGAGGAGAGAGATAAGTGGGGTTTTGATGCATACATTAAGGGTCAATTCTTTTACGTGGTGTTAAGAAACCTTTATGGATTATAGCAGTGAGTGCTTTTCTGCATAAATCTAGGTGTCTACAGTGAGATCCTCTAAACACTAAGGCAAAACTTCACCCCCAAAACATTCAAGTGCTGCCTAATATTTTTTTTAAGTCAATGGAGTATTTTAGTGCTTTCTTATAGATAGGCTGCTTTTTCGCCTAGAGACTCATTTTTATCCTTTCTGGACACATCCACAGGTATCTTGTCTTAGAAGACAGAACAAACATGAAGGAAAGCTCTATAGTCTTTCCTCCCTTCACTGCTGCTCAACACAATCATTGACAGAATCACACTAGCAGCAGGATTAGTAAGTAAAGCCCAGCTCACTCACTCACCTCAGGCTTCTTCAGTTCCTCGATTACATAGTTCAGGTTGTTCCACCCATTGTAGGACCAGAGCCCCTGGTAAAATGCCACTCCAACTGCCCTGATACCTGTGGTTGTGTTCTGAAAAGCGCTGTGAAACCTCTGAGTTTGTCCTCTGGTGAGCAGCACCAGTCCGCCTACCACGATCACTAGCAATGCCAAGAGCTTGGCAGCTGTAAAAATGTTCATAACAGATGTCGCCAGCCTCATGTTGAGACAGTTGATGATAGTTAAAAGCAGGATGCAGGCAGCAGCTGTACATTTGATGACAACTGGTGGAGATGAGCATCCTGGGTAGAACGGTGCAACAGCGTATTCAGCAAAACTCAGGCAGGCAGCTGCCAAACCAGCTGGTCTCACCAGGATAACAGAATTGTAGGCGACAAGGAAAGCAGGAAAAGAACCAAAAATCCTCAAGATGTAAATATATTCTCCTCCAGACTCTTTAATTATGGTTCCAAGCTCAGTATACGACAAGGCTCCAAACATGCCCAGGAGACCACACGCTCCCCAGATAAGCAGGCTGCTGGCAGGGCTCCTCATATGATCTAGTACCCATTCAGGGGACATAAAGATCCCTGAGCCTATCATGGTGCCTGCAATTAATGACACTCCACTAATCAGGCCGACTTCTTGCTTCAGTCTTAATTTCTCCTTCCCTTCACTCACATCTGTTGATGAATGAGGTGAATCTGTTGTCTTCCTCATAGTGGAAATGTTAGGAGATGTTTGGAGATAATTTGTAATAAGACTGAGGCATTTCAATAAGGACTGTCTCAGGCTTTTAGGGTTAAGTTAATGGTTACAAAAGTCACACTGAACACTGTCATTAAACACAAGCTTACCTTCCACATTTTGCATTCTTTCATTACCTACCTTATCTTGATAATTTATCATGGTTCAGATCCTGCCAAGACTGATTATCTTTGAATGTCATTGCAAGCAATGGTAATGGAAAGCATTTAACACCACCACCTTACTGGACTATGCCTCTGATCATCTCTGCTTTAAATTATGCTTCAAATGGCATCTGAAATAAGGATCAGTTAAGCAAAATCCCCATGCAAACCTGTACTGTATGCTTTGATTACAAGTTAATGCTCAAGCACCTGCTTTAGTCCTCAGTCATACATTCATTCCCCACTATGAAGTGATAAAACAAACAAGCCTGTCACCAAACATGCCATGGCTTTGCTCAGTAAGGAACATTTACAGTGTCTTAGTCAAAGACTAAGGAATATTCTGCTAAAAACAGTCCAGAGACTGTTCTTCTTCACAATACTAGGGCACAATTCTGGCTTTTGCAAATTTTAGAAAGTGCAGTAGAGTGAAGAGGCCATAATTACATTTTATGGGCCCTTTTTGCCAATGCGCATGAGGTATGCGCATTCTTACCAGATTACGATCTTCAGAGGACTTTGTCACTGCTCATCATACATACATTTCAGTACATACCCAAGAGAAATGAAGCACAAGCTTTTGAAAATGCCACTGACTCCTACTTTGATATCTAACAGGTAAAATTTCAGACTCTGGGGTAGGTTCTGCTATAAATCTGAATATTGCTACAGTGCATGAGGGTGTATTTTGTGAAATGTGATATGTATAAATTCTTGAGCAGACAGGAATTTCCATATGCCTTCCCCTCAACTAAAACTAGACTTCCCTGACCACAACTGTAAAGAAGGAGAATTACTGGCTTGGTGATCTCTTGCAGACTCCTGTTGTGATAAGTACCAGAAAATGAGAGTAAGACCTTCCTCAGCCCTTCATGGAAGCAGCAGACCTTGACTCTTTAAAACTGTTCATCCTCCTCAACCATCTGAGCTAAAAAGAGCATGAATATAAACAGAGAAGTATTTTTATCGTTTGTCTAAAAATTCCTTGTCTTCTAAATCGTTTAGTTTTCTCTTTCTTTGCTTTAAAATAATAATTAAAAAAATCATCTCACTAACTTTACAGTTTTCTGCAAGAATTATCCAAAATAACACTTGGACTCTTAGCAAAACTCCCATGCCCATAGGAAAAACAACATACACAAGTCATAATTTCTCATGCTATAGCAAATAAAGTTGCACAAATTTTAGCATCAGGTTAGAGGCTTTTAATTTCTTCAAAGAAGCAAAAAAGAACTCAAATCTTACTGAAGAGCAGGGTTTTTTTACAGTATAAATCCTATTAATAGATGAAGGAAATGAGAAAAATTGAGGGGGGGGGGGGGGAAGTTGTGAGTGATATTAGAAGCTATTCCTAATGCCAACTCATTTGTATTCACTAGAAACGGATTGCAGCTGGATTTCTCCTAATTTCAAAGTCACTAATAAAAATTCACAGCTGACCAAGCTGTAGCTTTAACAGAAGTGAAACATTACTTCGTCTGTATTGAGTATGTTTTCAAGTCTTCTTAGCCAAGATGTGAGTCCTGATAATAAACACAGGCTCCTTGTACTGCAGGGGTATGAGTTAATGCATTTCAAGTTAATGGTTTGCAAAGTGCTTGAGGACCTGAAGGGAGGCATCTCAGTAATGCCGAGTATTTTGTTTTACTTCTACTAAGTGACAGTGCTCTTGTTGTTAGTTGGTTTAGCTATTTGTAGTGTACTTGTTAAAAAATGCTAATCACAATGTCAGGCCATGTCATTCCTGTCATCCTTCAGAGGTCTAAAGGTCTGGCTTTTTTTGCACTAGAGATACTCTACTATGTGCATCCACACGTGTATTATGTTTGCCAATTCTAACTGAAAACATATTCACAAAATATGGTTAAACCAACGCTAAAGGAAAACTCGATATGACTACAAGTAGTTAAGTATCATTCTCATAAGCTTGCAGATATATTTCCATTACTGGTTTCCTGCTTTAATGAAGAAGTTTCTTTTCTGAAATGAATATGCAAGGTTCTTGAAGGGCCTGAGAGGATCTTTTCAAAGTTCTTGGTTCTAGAAATGAAGAACTTTTAATCTAATGTTGTAGAAAGAATCAGAATGTCTTCAAACTTGGTCATGTCAAAAGAATTTCTGTAAGACCACTCACATAACCAGGACTGATTAGCTGGTACATCAATAGCCTCAGTAATTTCCTAAAGAGAAGTCTATTTCAAATCCCAGGATCATTGTTACTCAGTTCTAACTGCTTCTATCTAAAGTAATAATGAATCTAATTAATCATTGTAAGAACTGGAGGCTATTCCTGTGAAAACTAAGACAGCCTGATTGCTTTGGATCTTTTTTATTCCCATTGACTTGTTCTTTTTTTGACTGATACTAGCAGTAAGGAGGAGCAATAAGATATTTTAGTCAAACCATTGTCACAACTGCAATTTGTCAAAATTGGCTACGTAGAAGGGCACCTCACTGCCCCCCTTCAGGAGCGTATAAGGAGGAGTAAAAATAAAAGCACCGCTTTCTCTGTATGTGGAGTAGCCGAGCTCTGTTGCTCAAGCTGTCACATGACAAATTCACTACCTAAACGACTCTCACTTTTCATTTCCCTTTGACATTGCAATGGGTGGTTGCCATCTACTGGTCTCTAAACAGTAAGACAGCTTTGTCCAGTGAAACATGGCTCAGTCTACATTTGCTTTTGGTATTTTGCATTGCTGATTAGAATGAAACCCTGCAATAAGTATTAATTCTTCAATATTAGGGTAACACAGCGTATACTTGAGTTGTGAATGGAAATTCTTCTCAATGTCCTTGGTGCTATTTTTACCTCACCAATAGCTACAAGAACTAGAGAAAGCTAATTTAAGGTAAAGGCCAATGTCAGTGGTAAGCACCAGACAAAACATGTGGTCAAGTATTTGCAATATTTAATTTTAGGTCCCAGGAGTCATATTTGGAACACGGTTATGGGCTTGGCTTCCCTGTCCCACAGTTGGGAAAGAGTTACAAATCTCTCAGAATGGGGACTAAAAATAACCCACAGTCTGAGGATGGAGTGGCCAACACCATTGCCCATAACTTTCTTTGGAGACAGACACCAATATTACACTTACAAATGTGTGCAGGGATCGAGATTTTATTTTTTTACATAAAAAAAAAAAAAACACCACCAAACCCCCAAAACCAGACACCAAGTTGTATGAGAGGTACTAAAGGTTAGAGAACTCATTCAGGATGTAAGATGTGAGTTTGATGGCCTTCTCTATTTGAGAACATGGAAACCCACAAATCCAGGCTGAATAACCTTCCCTTCAAAATGCAAGCTTTGAACTCTAATTGCAGGCAGATCTCGGTGCCCACACTTGTGATGCAAGTAGAGATGCCTGCTTGAAAAAGGGGGAAATAAAACCTAGTGAGCCCTGAAATAGGTCTCGAGCCCAGAAGAAAAATTGGGGCAGAGGGAAAACATTCCCCAGGTGTCCTGTGTGAAAACAGAAGGGAAGAAGACTCATTTAGAAATATGTGCCTGTGGAGGCTCTATAGTGTTTAAGCCTCTACCTCTCCAGTGCATCCTGGCTCTTCTCACACCTGAGCCCTGTAACAGAACAGCTTTGGGCCTTCACCCTGCTGGAGGTAACCTGGAGCCAGCAACTCCATTTGTGATGCCATCAGCCCTTGTGTTCCAAGGGGCCAGCAGCACTTGTTTGCCCCAAGGGACCAGAGTCTCTGGCATGCTTCACAGCAGAGAAGCTCTGACTGGGACTGTAAAACTGCCAGTGTGAGATGTAGGTAGCAAAAAACTCAACCTGGGCTACTGGGAATAGGACTGGGGTAAAAAAAGGCATTTCTGAGGATGCACAACAGTCCTAGGCTTCACAGTAAGAATAACCACTAAAACAGAGCTTTTTTAAGTTTGGACAGCAACTGGCTTTCCCTGTCCTGTTACAATAGCAGATCTGAGCCCAAGGGATTAAGAGGGAATCTAAAAACCAAGAATTTACCATAAACTCAATTAGAGCTTCCTTCCTTCCCTGCAGGGGGGCCACAGAAAGGTGAGCTCAATGCTCCCTGGTCTTGCTCAGTAAGGGCTCAGCACAGCCTGGTTCTGCAACTATTAAACTTTAAATTTAAATGTTTGCCTTTGTTTTACAGATATACTGCATAAAAATTTACTTGGTATCCCATGTGTTGTAAATCAGATACTAAATATTTTGTGTAGTTATCTTACTGTATTCAGGAGGAAGCTACTGCATGTTCTCTGGGCTGCTCTGTTGAGCTGGGCACAGGGCAGTAACAGCCCCACTCTTACATGCTGAATGGCTGTACTCTTAAATAAATGCTATAGAAGATAGCGATGGAATAACACAAGAACCACAGCTGAAAATAAAAGAATTACAACCTTCATGAGTACTGACCCCACCGCTGCTTGCAAGGTCAAGAGTTGTGACCTAAAGTTCAGTTTACAAACATTTTATTTTGATTAGAAATACAAAATAATTATTAGAAATTTTTATAATAAAATTATAAAATACTGCTTCTGATATGATTATAATAGCATTCTGAAGCTAAACAAGTTTTGCTAAAGCCAAGAAGGATTGCATTTTCCCCACTAGGCTCTGCAAACACTGGAAACCCGTGCAACCAGAGAAGATCCTAAGCGACCCATTGACAGCAACCCAGGAGAGTATCTGTGTAAGGGTTCATTCTCCAGGCTGCTCGAGCAGTAACTTCAAAGAAAAAGAAAAGAGCAAAACAACAGGCTTAGACTATGCTGTCCTCAGGATTCCACTTTTTGGCATTGCAGGCAGTTTCTGTATCAAGTGCCATTGCTACATTTTCTTTCACTTACTGAAGGAATATTATACAAATTTCTTCCTTTGTTCCTCTTCACATCCATATTTTCTTATTTTACAGCTATATATATATACCCATTGTATATATAT